CTAGAAGAGAACCAATGAGTTGCACTAATTGGTCTTACGTCACTGGCACTTTGGAGGGGCCGCCCTAGCTAACTCTACTCTTTCTTTTTGATCCGTTGACCCTATCCTTGTCAATATGTACGGGAATGTATAACTTGATAGAAAATTAACGCTAGAGTTTTGAATTGTCGCCATTCAGAATTTTGAATTGTCGGAATCTTGACTATTCGGCATTTTGATTTGTCGGGATTTTATCTTGTAGGAATTTTATCTTTGGATTTTTTTATCTTATCGGGATTTTATCTTGTTGGGATTTTATCTTATCGGGATTTTAACTTGCAGGATTTTATCTTGTTGGAATTATGTATGTCGTGATTAGCACTGTCGGGATTTGTACTGTCGGGATTTTGGATGTCGGGATTTTGTGGTAGATCCGTTTTCGATATGACATATAATTGACATTACATGTTTTCGACAATCCTTTTCTTGGATAAGACATTTCTTCGACAATTATTTCTTCGACATATAATTCTAACCAACACAAACTCTAAATCAACTAACCCTAAAGCTAAATCGAGCCAATTTTATGTCGAGGAAATTGTTGTCGGGGAAATGTTCTGTCAAAGAAAAGGATTGTCGAAATGTATAATGTCGAATATAAGTCTTATCGCAAAAATGTGCTGTAGATGAAATAGCATGTCGACATTACGGTGTCAGGAAAATGAGGAATTGAGCAACAACAGATTTACTTGAATTGGGAATTTTTCTGTAATCGGTTATGGATTTTAATTTGACGACACGCGTATATCAGATATATTATGTCTCTATTCTTATTGAAGAATATGACCTATTTTTTATTACTTGTTTTTCAAATAGTTAGGTTTATGACATTCGAATTTTTTAAGACCAGGTTACAATTAAATTTAAACTTTCGCCCTAGCCAAACTTCTTTTATTGAAATGAAACATTTTAATATTTAACCCTATATTATATGGCATTATTATAGCTTAGGCAATAAAACTATACTACATTATAAAATCAGCAAATTAACATATCGATAAAAGTGGTGTAAGAAAATCAATATTAATGTTTTTGTCGTGGAAGATGGTTTTTAACCTGAGGCTTGATTTGAAACAAGCATATAAAGGAGTTCTTTGCGTATAGTAATGATTCGCCACAAAGTAATTAATGTAAATAACGACATATTGAAACTTTTAGTACTGAGAACGTACGTATGTGCGTATGTATGTTTAATAGTTATGATCGAAATTGTCATGATCTACATCACGTGACTAAAACCGAGCACAGATTATAATGTCGTTACAACTTCAAGAAATAATTCATTAATTATTGTTAATTGTCGAAACTAATGATCCATTTTTACATTTTCTTAATTCTTCGGAACTATCAGTCAAATCCCCAGATGAACCATCTACATCTTCATCTGAAGATGAATCTTCTTGTTCTTCATTTGTTAACTCATGATCACTCAGGTTTTCTTTCAAATTCTGATCGTGTTCCTCATCGGATGCATAATTAGTACAAACTTCCTCGATTATTTTGAGATTTTTCTTTGAATTTTTGTCTGAATTTTAAAAACCCAATTACTGTTTGGAATAAAGAATCGGAACTAAGTTCATTTATAGAAAATTATATTGTGTCAAAAAGACGCCATCGGCAAAGAGGAAGCGCATATAGATCTAACTCATAAATACATGCCACGCACTCTAAAAAATGAAGATATAATATAAAAACCTTGCAAATAGTATAAAAAATGTACATTAATACTAACCAAAAAAATGAATTGTAAAAATGGAAAAACCATCACTGGAATAATTCTCTCGTATAAAGTTATAAGCATCTTTTGAAAGTAAAATCAATTTTTTATAATCATCTTCTTCATGCTTTCTAGAAGTGGATGTAGGTTCAAACGGACCAGAAGATACTTCCGCAAAAAATACTTCCAGAAGATGATACTTTACACTAAGACATCCTTTTAAATCTGGCTTTTTGTCCGGGCCATTTTTTGAATTGCGATTTCGTGTGCTTTCACTGGAGCTATAATCCCTTAAATATATATATTCAGAAAAAGAATAGATTTGAGGAATATTATTGAAAGAACAAATTTCTTACCACTCTACCGCAAAATCATCTATATCATGAAAGATCAATCTTTTTATATCATTAACAATGTCATGTTTCCATGTTGATTCCATGACACGCTTATCATTTCTCTTGTAAAGAAAATTTTGATTTATAGCCAATCTACATTAAAAAATAAAATTAAATATAAAAGGAGAAATAAATTCGTTAATGGCCTCAAAATCTAAAAGATAGTTTTCTTCAAGATCAGAGGGGTATGGTGGCGTAACTTTTGTTACGAGTCTTAGTCGTATAAATTTTTTAAGTGCTGAATTATTGATTTGTCCCATAAAAGTTTATACGGTTGTTTTTTAGAAACTGATTTTCAAAGACCCGCCTTAACAAGAGCTTTTTTTGATCTGTTTAGGAAGCCACTTTTTGGTGGTATTGATTATTCCTGAAAACAAAACATCGCTTTCACTTATGTCTGTGCATAACGCAACTTGTTGCCCGATAATGCGAACAACCGGGTCAGAATTATCGATAGTTATCTATTGTTAGAAAATTTCATAAGTTGAAAAAACTATATGATATGCCATAAAATAAGTTTTTTGATTTCTTACACTACGAAGGCGATGTTTTTTTTTGGTTGTGAGATCAAAATAATAATCGTTTGGGAGTAGATCTAACCAACTGAAACGAAGACACTCCGAAGTAACAAGTCCCCAAAATGTACTGCGGTTCCAAATAAATCCCCAAACCTTTTCACATTATCATCTAGTTTCTGCAAAAGTAAAAATTAATTTGTGAGACATCACAATATCATCGTGAAACTTATTTGAAGAAATATATTTTCAACTCCATAAAAACCAGACGTTAATTTTCGACGTAAGTTCACATGGTTGCACCCCACCAACCGAAAATTGAATCTTGGTATCATTATTGGACGGTTACACCCCACTAATAAACCAAAAATTTTCATAAAACTCATCATTTTATTGGACGGTTGCACCCCACCAATATTCAGAGAATAAGTATTATACAATAACTCATGAAAATAAGGCTTTTGTCATCATGGATTGAACTATTATTAATTTTGTAAGTAGAAAAAATATACTTGCCTCCGATTTTGCTGAGTTAGTTGTTTCATTTACATATTTGTTATGTATTATGACTTTAATTGCAGTTTTATTAGTGGTGTTGTGGGGAAACTGATCCATAACGGCGTTAAATATTAGGAACGCGTATAGGCTATACTGTTGACCAGTCCGTTGCATATACTGAGTATAACTTATCATAGTTAAAAATTTTATTCGGAGAAAAAATAACTGATTGGAGATTCACTCCCTAAAATCTGTGCCTCCAACCCTAAACGTAACACGATCAGAAAAATTCAAAACAAACGTTTGTTTTAAAAAAAATCGGTTATTCTCAAAAATTTACATAAAAAACACCTTTGGTACTCTAACAAAAAGTTTTCCTTGAGCGATTTTACTATAAAAACCACCTTTATCTAACGTTAATATAAACTCTAACCCTAACATAAACGAACTTTAAAATTTTGAGGATAACCGTGACTGTAAAAAATTTGTTGGCGATACTGGGGAAGATAATTTGACAGACACAATTATTCATTTGTCGCGATAACAACAAGCAAGCACTAAAGACTGGGTTGTTTTTGACACGTATAGCTTTATAAAGTCCATATTATTATTCCATGGAAGTGGTCTTACTGAACTTTAAATGCATGCAATTTTTAAAATCAGCACACCCAATTATTATGACTTTAGTGATTACACTACTAATACTTTTATTTTTTTACAATCGAGGTCCGAGGAGTTGGTGTAGTTCCTACAAGTGGTAATCGAACACCTGTATTATTTCTTTGAAAGACTTGAACCTCTAATTCGTTGCTTTCTATTTTTTCAATTATTTGGATGATCCCTCGAATTGCATTCGGGAAATAAAAGCAGATAAATACACGTGTATTAGAAATGTATAGCTCAATAATAAAGTATCACCTTCAATTCCAACATTGTAATTATAGACAAAATTAGTTCGCAAATGCCTTCAATATATATAGGAGCTTCTAATTGTGCTTTTTTGGTTAATCGCGAAATAACTCCTTTAGGGCGATCCATAATGTAAACAGTGCCTTTATTTTCTAAGTAATTATAAAAAAATTAATAACAAAGTCGATCAATATATCATATAATATAGATAACGTTCACTTACTGAAAAGTTGTATTCCAAATGTACAAAGACACTCGTAATTTTTAATTGTAGTTGGCGGAAGTGATTCAATTATCGTATCGAACATATCTTTCATGAGCTTTAATAGTTTCATTCTATCTCCTAAATATTTTTTATCGTGAATGCCTCCTGTTCTAGCTACCTCTCCAGCTAGTATTTCTCTTGAACTATTACGAAGTTTTAGTAATATGTCGATCTTCCTGCCCTATTAATATTGAAAAAGAAATTAATTCGAATTATCTATATGTTATAATATTACAGTTTTAAAGGCTCATTACACGAATAATGGATTTTCCTATTTTTCTTTTTTTGTTTTTGCGCATTTTTGATGCAAACGAACCACCATCTGATCTGTAAAAATGAAAGCGTACTTAACCACCAATATTATAAGAATATAGTAACGATTTTTGTTTGAATACATGACGTACTTTCCTATTTTGGTTTCTTCAATGTCCTTTAATGCCATATCAACAATAAAAGTCCATACATGACTTACAATCCATGCTTCCAAATTATCCTCTGCTAATGCATTCACGCCTTGCTCCCATTCAATAACACTACATTGATAAAGAAAAAAAATCAGTCATGGATTGAAATATTATATAAATGATGAGAGTTAACCCACAATTTATTGAACACTAAGTGGATCCACTCCAAATCATAATGTAATTTTGAATTATAGGTTTCCCCGTTTTTCAAATATGGTTCCATGACGGTTTCTCGAAGATCGTCGACATTTTTCTATGGAGGTTTAGAAGATTTATGAATAAATGTCTCAATTCGGTCAATCTTTATCAAACAGAATACCTTGTAATATTTCATGACATATTTTTTGATATCATCTTGTACGGCCGGAAAAGACTTTTTATTAGTGTTTAAAATTGTCTCCTTTTCCTCAGGACTAAACAAATCCATAACTTCCTGACAATCAGTATCTAATATAAATGAGTGTGCAAGTCTTAATGAAATATGTAGACAAAGAAATGATTAGTCATTACACATCTATTTAGTAACCAATATGATCAATGCAATGAATTCAGTATATCTACGTCTCAGAACGATGGGTCACTGCCCAATCATATAAGACGTCTTCAACAAATCTGCCCGAAGGAAGGTTCCATTTGTCGTCCGCATTTATCGCCTTAAATCTCGAAATAAAATCATCAATCAACTTTTTCTCCAACTTCTTTCTCTCCTTGGCCTTCTTGTCTTTGTTGTCATCTTCGCCTTTATTCTCGTCGTCATCTTCGTCAACATCCTCATCTTCATTCTCGTCGTCATCTTCGTAGTCATTTTCGTCGTCATCTTCGCAGTCATCTTCATTGTCGTCTCCATCGTCATCGTCAATCTCATCATCATTAACCTAGATATTGAAAATTACATATAGGTGAACCGGAAAATATTGACTAACAGTATTTTACGTACTTCAGAATCTTCATCTGATACTTCTTCGTAGGTTCGCTTGCTGATATTATTCACTTTATTTGAGTTTTCAGCGTAAATTACTCTATTTATTTTTCTCGGTGTCCTTCTGAGTGGAGAATTTTCTTGTTTGTTTTTGATGGTTCCAACTTTCCCCCCGTTAACTGTGTTAATTGACCCTTTTACAGATACATTTATTGGTTGGTGTAGGTGAACTTGTTTGCGTGTACGTTCCTTTTCCCAGGATTTTGCGATTTTATAATCTGGTCTAGGATTCTAGTATAGAAAATTTGGAAGTTAGTAATTATTGCTTATGCTTAAATTACATCCCATTTGAGTATCATTCATCCCATTTGAGTATCAGGTAACCTAGGAAGTTACCTCACCCCAATGGGCCCAGTGTTAGAATTGGCTAGGAACCTTTGAACAGCAAGTAACCTAGGAAGTCACTTGCGCTCTAACACCGGTTTTATGTGCTTCAATTTCATCCCATTTGAGGATCAGGTAACCTAGGAAGTTACCTAACCCCAATGGGCCCGGTGTTAGAATTGGCTAGGAACCTTTGAACAGCAAGTAACCTAGGAAGTCACTTGCGCTCTAACACCGGTTTTGTGGCTCAGCGAAGAGCCTTGAATGACGAAAGGCCTAGGAAGCCTACGATCGTCACGCCACTATTTTCTTAAAAAAAGTTTTACGCGCCTTTCGATATCTGTCATGGAGCTGTTGTGCTTTTTTTTGTCTCCTTCCTTCCTCCTTAGCAATTTTTTCAAGGCTTTTAAGGTATTCGTCGATTTTTTTATCAAATGGTTCGATATCACATTCATTTAAAAATCCGACTATATTCCATTTATTACATTTGCGAACGAAGTATTTATGTATTTTTGACATCGCGGACGGACTAATGTTGTTAGGCGAAACTTAAGAGTTTCGCCACTGACGAAACGCGAAACTAGTTTCGACTTTCGCCAAAAAAAATTTAAAATGGCGAAATGGCGAAATGGCGAAACTGTCGAAAGGTGACGAAACTGGCGAAACTGCTGAAAGGTGACGAAACTAAAAAAGATAGCAAAACTAATTAATTAAAACTCTTTTATGTAATTATCAATCTGTTTATTTCTATATATATATTCAAAATCCGTGGGAATTTATCCCGAATTATTGTCGTGGTGGGTAATCACTAAAAATATAATACTTATTACTGTAAGTATTGTATTTATTTTTTATACATATCGATATTTAAACATACTATATACATCGGTATCAATATAATACATAATCTAAAACTCGTGATCACCCGCCATCCCGACAATAATTCGGGATAAGTTCTCAGGGTGGTCCACGAATTTTGAATTTAGCTGTAACTAAAAAAACTCTTGGAATGCACTCTAATTATCATACATTTTAAGTTTTAAAGTTTAAATCTTAATTTCTAAGTTTTTCAGTATAGTATTTGGGTTTCGGAAAAGGTTTCGGGTTTCGATTTCGGGAATTTATATATAGTTTCGGGTTTCGAAGATTTTTTTAGAAAAAGAACAAAACTATTAATGTTTCATTCGATATAATGAAGTTTTAATAATAAACTCTCGATACAATATATAGTGAAGATTTTTTTAAAAAAACATATATTATATTATTTTTTATTCATTAACTAGTAATGTTAGATTTGCGGGCGACTTCATCGCCCGCTTGCAATTTTGAATCACATTGTTTAAAGCGTGACATATCTCAATCAAATATAGTTGTGTACTAGAATTGATTAAAAGTATATGTTGTGATTTGGCATTACTGCTATTTTCATAATTTCTGGGACACCTGATAAAAATTGACCGAATGGTACTCCAGCCGTTTTGAAATTTCGGAATAATAGATTCAATAAAAATACAAAATTGTACGTATGCGCGTAAGTACGTACGTAACTTTTACATTAGCAATTAAATAGTGCGAAAGTTTTACCAGCACTACTAGACTTTATATGTTAGCTCTACAAAATTTTTGGCCAACGTTATTTACAAACATTATATGCCAGAAACTTATGTAAAATTACCCAAATTTCTACCTGTATATAAAAGCCATGATACTAGTTCTGCAGATAAATTTAAATATCGACACGTTTGATATTATTAAATTTTCATTTGAACACTTGCCCAACATGCTTAGTTTGTGCGAAAACATATATACATAATCAAATCACAATGTATTCGGTCAATTTTTATCAGGTGCTCCAGGAATTATGAAAATAGCAGTAATTAATAACTTTTTGGTCAAGTCGACAAGTTGGGGCAAAGCACAAATATTATTTTATAGGATACATGTATGATCGATGGTGGTAATAATTCGCATTTTATTTTTATAACTGGTAATTAGAACATGATCATGCGGGCGGCTTCGCCGCCTATAATATGCCAAGATAATAGATTTATTTGTTTTATTCTTAGTCTTATTTCGGAAAGAAAATTTTCTTAAGTTCCATCTTGAATTTAATGCACCAATTTGGGGCCCCTTTCCTGGGCCAAAGCTGATGCATTAGATTTAAAGCATTTCCTCCTGTCATTAAATGTTTCTTCTCGAATTTGATGCACCAATTTGGACCCCTTTGGGGCCAAAGTTGATGCATTAGATTCAAAACTGGTGCATTAAATTTAAATCTTTTATTTGAACAATGCCAGGATGTCAGACATTTTCCAATTACATAGTTTCCAAACTACTGACGGTCCATCGTTTGATCCATGACAACAAATATGCAGTGCAAAAAATTTTGACAAAATACAATAAACACAAGATAGGTTTTATTAACTGTAGAGGTATATAACTTTAATCTTGCAATAATGATAACTATGTAATACTATTAACAAACTATTTGACTTGCACTATTAATTGCAAAACATACACAATGAATTTTTAATACTTATTTTTTTTAACAACCTTAATAAAAATAAAAATACAATTCCTAATATGCGAAGAAATCTGAACTTTAATAAAAGTTTTTGAATTAAAGAAACATTAATACAGTCTCGGATATTACCAAATTTGGATTATGTAGATTATACCCTTTTTTGTACAATTAGAACATTCTTGATACTTCCATTTCAGTCTATTGCTATTCTATACTAATCTATGGGGCTAAAATTATGCCAATCATCATTTGCTTTCTGATTTGGTAAACAACCACCTTATAATGCCTCTGGGATCACAAGGGATCCCTAGACTATGTGTCTATAAGACCATTTATATCAGAATGAATTCAAACATTTATTATTAACTATCTTATGATTCCGCTACCGGCTGTTTTAATATATAAATCAATTCTAGAATATTCATTACTATGCTGTAAATAGATTTTCATATTTAGTAAAATCTGAGACTATAATATATTTTCATACTACAAAAAAATAAACATTTGTTTTAAGCATTGTTAATAAATGTTAAAATATATTAAGGGAACTGTTATTGCCACCCCTATTTTTGTTAATGCCACTTTATATAACTCCAATTAACTTTTAACCTTTCCAGAAACTTTATAAACAATACTTACTTTAACTGCTAACTAATTAATTACATTATACAGAGGACCAGACTAATGATGCTCAGACTAAATGTACATAGCAGACTATGGAACCCTTTACAGCTGTAAGAACCGAGCTTAAAACAGCGAGCGCACTTACAGAAGGACCTTCATCCAAATCATTACCAATATCATCCAACTCCTATGATTTGGAAATATGCTTTAACAAATTTCTTACTTACTACCAACTTCCTTTATTAAGAAAACCACAAACTGTTAATTCTTTTTTACAACATTATGACAAAACAATGTTAACTATTTAGAAGATCTTGCTTTTATTACTGTTTACAGTAACAAAAGTGAAGCACATGTATACTTACTATATGAACACAATATACTACCAAACCACTATACTCTATCTGCCAATGATTCATATGATATTTTTCTTAAATTACAATCTAATACATCTATTTTTACATCTACCTATTCTCCATTAGTAGCTTCTGAATCAAGTTCTAATGAACTTGAGTCTCTACCTTCTAATTTATTTACATTTTTGCAAGACTTTAACCAAAACATTTCTAATCCATCCACCCTACCTATATTATCTAGAGACCAAGAATTTATTGACAACCCTTACAATCAATATCCTAATCAAATTAGAGACCTACATCTCAATATCGCAATACATAATGTCCGAGGCTTTAACTCAATCACCAAAAGAGAAGCTTGGCAACACTACTGCCTTGATCACAATATTCATATTGCCAGCATTACTGAAACTAAAATTTCTGATAAGCCTAATCTATCATTTTGCAACAATAATCTCTTTATATAATTTGGGCTAACTCCAACAGCTCTGCAGAAGGTTCTGCTATCATGATACACAACTTTCTTCAACCTTACATTCATAATTGCCTTACACATCCTAGTAGTGCCATAGCTATTGACCTATTTTTTAAAAGTAATATCAAACTCCATATTATCTCTGTATATCTTTCATCAACTTATATGTCAAAATGGAACTCAACTCAAGATATTGTAATCAATTGGATTCAACTTGCCTTACAACAAAATCTCCATCCTATTGTTCTTGGTGACTTCAATACACACGATAACATCCACAGCTCTTTTGCTAAATATAAACTCATCAATTATCTACACCATTCTAATATGTATGATATTAGTGCCCACTTTGACAATACTTATCATATATAGTTGAACAATACTTCATCTAGTCGAATTGACTATATTTGAACTGATCAATTTAATATCCAATTTCTCTTATCATACACACTTGATATCAGTAAAACTAGTACTTGCAGTGATTACTTGATACTTAATACATCATGGACATTCCCTAATATATATAACAAACCACCTCGCTTCTGCACTGATATAAACTGTCATATATTTAATTATAGTACTATAACTTCTCAAAATTAGACTAAGTTTTCTGAACTTCTTACATCTAAGCTTAACAATCATCATGTACCTCTCTCTTTACAAACTAGTGATAGTATTAACACTATTTGGCATAAAATTGAACATTCTATTATGAATAGTGCTATATCAATTATTCCTAATAAGATTAGCCACAAATGCAGTTATAATCATAAATATACTCCTCATAGTACACAACTCTATCTATCACTTAAAAAACTTGGCCATCTTATTAAAAATCTTAAAAGCAGTAGTAATACTCATAACATCTCAAGCATTAATCAACAAATTGATGATATCAATTCACGGTCTCAATGTAACCTCCAAACCCTTTCAGGTCTAAATTCTTTTCAAATTCTAGAATAGATAAAACATGCTTAAGATATAT